CCTACCCCCCCAAGAGGTCTGGTCTTGACAGCACCCTGCCCACACAGAGTGGCTGGGGTCTCTGCACGTGCCAGGCAGGGTGAGGGCCGCCTGCCCGCTGGCCTCTCCCCTCGGTTAATAGCCAAGGGGAGAATGCAAACCCCAGCCCAAATGGAGAGACATTTACATACGTTTTATATAATATACAAAGAAACCAGCATCCCAGGCAACATGATTTCCACTCCCAATGCTCTCCCAGACTGATGGGTTTGTGGGGGAAACAACAAAAAGAAAAGTACTCTGCCGAGGTCTCAGCATTTAAAAAAAAAAAAAAAAAAATCTCCCCTCATTTGAGCAAACACCTGATTTCGATTTTGAAAAGTGAAATTTTGTAACAGTCACACACAAAGAGAGAAGACTGTGCATATGATAGTTGTAGGACAGGGTAGAAAAGAAGGGGATGCAAGAGGCTGGGGGAGAAAAGGAAAACAAATTAGAGGGAAGGAAGGAGGGAAACTCACAGTATTATCTTGTCCAAAAGAAAAGAAGGTCCACTGCAGCACCAGGGATTACACCTGTCATATATTCACTACCCCTACCATGGTTATAACTGAATACAAAATTAGATAAATAAAAACACGCCAGATATTACAGTAAACAAGTGAAAGAAATAAGCTGGCAACCATATGGAATTTAAAAAGATTGTGTACCCCACCTGGGCTGGCTCCAGGGCTCCTCCAGGGGTGTACAACAGGCACAATGCACTGATGGGGAGAAGCCGGTCTGCTCTCATCTCTCATCCAGAACAGTGTTAGGGGTGTGGGTGGCTTGGTAACTCTTTCACTGGGCCCACTCTCACATAAGCATCCCCCAAAGAAATGTGGGGCAGGCCCACACACAATCACAGTCCTGTCGGTGCCACTCCACAAACCTATCTTCCCACTCTTACCCTGCAGTCACAAGTGCATGCTCCCCAATCATGGAGGCGGTCCTGCTCGTGGGATCATCAACTCCTGATTAATTGGGAGTAGAAAAAATAAAATTCGAAGCATTCCCAAACCACTCGGTATCCTTCCTAATCAAATTTATTGCCAAAAGCTGGTAAGTAGCAATGCAATTGGCCTATATCCTGTCTCATTCCTCTTTTCCTTGTCTACTTACTTCATGGGTTACTGAGCTGTGAAATAGCTTGGGAAGGGGGAGTAGGATAGCAACAGTTGGAGGCTCAATCTACTCAGATAATCTGCTCCCGAATAATCAAGAGCTGACCATGAGCGTTTCTTCAAAGAGCCAGGCACCCTCCAGTCGGTGCAGGTTCCAAGCTTTACTATCCTTGCCTATTTCTTGGTGATCTTAAGACAAAGATAGGCAGTATTCTTGGTGGACACACATTGGCCAGATACCTGCTTTTGGAATGGTTGTCTTAGGATGAACATTCATATACCTACCTTTCTTCTTAAGTGCATAAAACCCTAACAGTACTCAGATGGCTTGGGGCTTTTGAGATTGGCTCTTTTCACTTTTTTTCCTTTGAAAACTTTTTTTTTTTTTTTTTTTTTTTTTTTTAAATTTAAAAAGATGTCCTCACTGCACAAGTGACTACAGGCTACAGGCAAGGATGGGAGACGGAGGCTTCAACACAACTCATTGCACTTAGAACCGTTACTAACTGAAACACCATTTGCTTGTCAACAATGTACCCTTGACAGCAGGGAGAAACTTCTTTATAGTCTCTGCTTCAGACAAGATTTACATCTTTCTCCAAGGCCAGAGGCCAATTGTGACCACAAGTCTTGTTTCTTGTCCACCAGACCCAATCCTCTGGCACCTTGTACCCCCCCTTCCCCAGCAATATGCTCGGCCTAGGTTCCAGAGGCAGCTGGAAGGAAGCAGCTATGGGCTCATTCAGTTCTGTTTGCCCAAATCCAGAAGCCCTAGGAAAGTCCTGTCTGAGTCTTGACTCCTGACCCTTGCAGTGGCTGGAGTCGGTACTGGTGCACACCCCCACTCCCACGGTGTGGGTAGTGCTGTGAATTGGAAACCGCAGATACCCTGGAGGCCTGGTAGACAGCTGACTGCCCAGCACTGGGCAGACTGATAGTCCGTAAGTCTGATGGCAATGATGACCTAGAGTTCTGAGGAAAGGAGGTGGAACTCAGAGTTCCTGTGCTGGACTGAGAAACCGAGTCTGAGGTTGGCGAGTCTGAGGGTCCCTGCAGGGTAGGGCTAGCAGCACTAGAAGGGCAGCTCCTCCTTGGAAGATTGCTGCCAGTGCTGTTTCCAGAATGTGGCTGGCTGCTAAAATACCCTGGTGTCCCCGTAAATGGGGCCAACGAGTCTGTGGACGCAGGGTGGGCGGGGCTGGAATAGGATGTAGAAGAGAGGGATGATTCTGAAGAACCGTGAGAGGGGGGGTTTCCAGGTCTCAGTGCAGTAGTTCGATAACTGTATCCTGGAGATTGTGTAGGATGTCCTCTGAAGGGGGAGGAACTCTGCTGAAGGAGGCTTTGTGATTCTGTCCGAGGACTATCACACTGCAGGAGCTAGCAAAGTTGGGAGGAAAAGAATAAGGAGGTGAACAAGTCCCTTAAATGGCTGACTTTTAATATAAATGGTAAACATTTATAATACCCTATGTTTTTTTTTTCTTCATCTTTTAACCATGTATTCTTTTTAGGAAACCAAAGGCAGTAAAATGTCTGTCTTTGATCACCTTATTCATTTTCTGGCATAATTTATTACCTGAGGGCAAGCAGATGATGACTTATTTCCAAAGTTGCTGAAACTATATGCAAAGACAGCATCTCAATGGCAAAGGATGGCCAGGACAATTTGGAACCCAGAACACACTCCTATATCTAGATATCAACAATCTCTCATCTCACCTGGTAGCTGTATCTGGAAGGGCTGTAAACAGTTGCTCCTTTAGAGAGTGCTGAGCTCAATGTCTCTGGACCTTCTCCATCTGCAGGGTCTGGAAGGTAACACATAAAAAAAAAATCAACTTGGCTTCTTAGAATAAGTAAGAAACAGCCATTGTTTATTCAAATCACCAATGCCATCACCAACCCATGCTGCTCTCTTTGTGACAAATTGGGTGAGTGCAGCATGCCAGAAGGGCAAAAGGAGTGGTTAATTATGGGCTATGTTCTAAATGCCTGATCTGATTCCCGTCTCCTTCTTTCTCTTCATCCTTCATCGAGGTAGATTTCCAGGACTTTGGAGAGATGAGAGTTACAGAAAGGTATTCCTTGGGGAAAAAAGAGCAGACAGAGAGCAAGCAACGCTAGATCTTACAAATGTTGTAGCCAAAATGAGCACAAGTGGGCTAGAACCTAGCATACGGCAGAGCCCAACTGCTTCAGAAACTGACTCACCTCAACTCAGAACTTGGCATGAACTGTACAGGACTTGGCTCATGTGTCCCTGAATGTGGTGGCAGTAGAAGGCCATGGGCTCACCTGAGTCTTTCTCTGTGATGTTACTCTCCCACGTGGGAGAGGGCTCTCCCTTTTGGGCCACCCTCACACTGCTTCGGAGGACCTTGGGGATGCTTCCTCCTTCTCGAAGTCGTTCTACTGATGTGGGAACCATCCTGTAAAGGTAACAGGGTGCAAGTTCAAGCCACAGGACTTAACCAAAACAAATGAAGCCCTAACCAAGGTGCACAGTGTATTTTCTTAAAACATCCTCTTAAACAATACTTTCTTCAGAACCAATTTAAAACAAGGTATTTCCTCTGCCTCCAACTATGTCAGGCACAAAAGAGAAACATCATCATCATCATCATCATCAACAACAACCACAACAACCACCACCAGCACCACTTTTAACAACAACCACCACCACCACAACAACCACTTTTAACAACAACAACAACAACAACAACAATCACTTTTAAAGAAAAAGAAATCAAGGAAAAAGTGGATTAAAGATGTTAACTTCCCCGAACCCCCATTTAAAAATGTTAAAATTTCTCCTTTGGGAAATCATGTGCCTGATACATAGTAGTGGTTTAATAAAGGTTTCATAGATTAATGAACATTAAACATATGAGCCAGGACTCTTCTTTCTCAGACTTATTTTTTCAGTTCAAGATCCCTGAACTCCTGTGCTTCATTCTCTATTTCACACATTTGATCCTCAGTATTTGCCACCAGTATTATTCATTTTTAAATTTGTGGTCTCCCCTAAACCAGACAAGTCCTTTCAGAATGTCTTTTTGCTCTGTATATGCTAACTGTGTGGAAGAGAGACATTTGTTGTTAATTCATGTGGAACTTGGTTGGATTCTTGACTCACCTTTCATGTGAAATGAGAAATAGAAGAGGCAGTGTTAGTGCCCACCAAATAAAAGAGCTCATCTGCATCCATAACTACATGTCATCCAAAGCGCTGCTCCACAGGCATGTTGGTAATTCTTAATTCTGCAAAGCTGGGGGGTTGCAGCTGACACTATTAAATCAGCTGAACAGGACAGATGGTACTGTTGGCTGGCTGTCTCAGATGTTCCCATCAAGTGTTCCCATAGATTTTAGGTAAAACTGGGAATGATCCTAGATATAAACTCCCCCCATCCCCAATTTAACTATAAAACATCAGATATAAACTTACCACCTACTGCTGATATTCTCTTGAGGTCTGCAGTGAGATGAAGAAGTGCCTCTGGAATCTGATGGGCTTACCGCCTCCAAATGGGACATAGAGGAATGAGATGGGGAGAATTTTTTGTGAGGGGAAGATGGGGTTCGGGCTGAGGATCCCTGCACACCATGGGCACCAGTGTCAGAAACGGAGTTACTGCTGCCTTGCCCAGCTCCTGCAGACTTGCTTTTGCTCTGGGCAGAGTCACCTCCCCCACCAGCAGAATTTTCCTTAGCTTCTTGTTTCCGTTTTCGGTACTCCAGCAGGGATACCTAGAAAGGAAAAAACAAACAAACAAACAAAAAACGGTACTCTAGTTGGATATCATTAGTGGATCACTAGCAACAGGGAAAGAAGGAAAGATGGTACCGTAGTAAACCACTAGCCAAGACACGCCAACAAAGCAGATACCAACCCTGACAACTTTTTTTGGGGGGTGTCAAAGAGATCTGAGCACAGCTACATATTTAAGACAGCTGGAAATTGGTAAGAGGAAGATAATAAACTAGGAGGTAAGTTTCTAAAGAATGTTTGCCAATTAGACCACCATGCTTTTTTCTGTCTTCAGAAAAACTTGTGAGGTTACCGTTACACAGTAACAGAAGTGTGCTATCATAGTTATTTGCAACAGTGGGAGTACCCAGAGAAGGGAGAATTGGAAGCTTGTATAGTTTAAAAAGCCTCCCAGGTGACTCTGATGGCTCTTCTGCACTCCTTGGAAGCCCCTAGAATTAGCTGTTTGAGAGCATGAGAGAGAGACAGAAGCAGGGAGAAGAGAAGAAGGAGATGGAGGACAGGGAGGGAGAGAAAGAGAGAGAGAGAAGGGAAAAAAAAAAAAGAAAAAACCAATGCTCCAGAGTACTTAAATATGCTCAATTTTTCAAGAAATAAATAGGAATTTATTATTGTTTCTGTTAGACATAGATGTAATTAATGTAAAAAGAGAGGAAATTATTATTTCCAGTTTATACTTTTAGCAAGCTAGCTCTAGAAAACAACTTGGTAACTTCTCCCCAACTTCCCCTTCATCTCCCTAACACTTGCTCATTCTTTTCTGACAGCAGACCCCCCACCCCACCCTGCTGACCATAATCCCTGCCCTGCCTAGTACACCTCCTCTTTGTTGTTCTGGCACACTACTTACACAGGCCGTAGAACTTTCTACCGTGTCTTGATTGCTCCCTGACTAAACTCTAAGTTCTAGGAGGGCTTTTTATCTTAAACATCCAGCACAGAATTTGAATATGCTTAAATTTATGCTTAAATGTGCCCAATAAATTTCAGAAGTGTTTCTGAAATAACATATTATGATTTCTATGACTTTTGCACATAGTAAATATTATAAAACCAGAAATCTAAAGATTGTTTTCATCTTTGTTTCTGGTAGTCAATGCTGTTCATGCAACGATCTTTGAAATCAATTACTATCCTAATCCAAATTATCTGCCAATGTTTCCTCCTCCTTCTATCCCCTTAGGGTTCTCATTTTTCTGTGCAAATGTAACAAATATAGACAGTTTTGCATATGCATTTTCTATACATAATTTTGGAAAGAAGTTAATAAATTCTGGTAATGAATATTATCATCACGAAAATATAAAAAAACCACTAAGTTTCATTTCAATGAGGATACTACAGATGTTTGGCCATTACGTGGTACTGTCCCCTACACAGGACATTCAGCATCCCTGGCCCTGCTCAATAAATGCAAGTCACTGGGACAATTCAAAACACTCCAACACATTCCCAAACACCCCTAGTTGAGAACCATTTATACAAAAAGCACATTTTTGGCTTTGTGACTTCTAGATCAGGCATTACTTAGAAGTGGAGTCCCCACCCATTTGCAAGCTCTCTATGGCCTGGCCCAGCCCAGCACTCTCTGCACTTTCCATACAACAACATCCAACTGTTTGCACCACACTGCATGCCTGCTGCCCGCCCAATGGAGTGCCACGTAATTACCTGTTCTACTCCCTCTACTGTAACATGCCTCACCCTCATTTGTTGGTTGGCTGACTCCTACTTATTGTTTGAGATTCAGCTAAATCAGTAACCTGCCACCTTTCTCTCTAGCCTTATCTCTCAAACTGGGTAGTATCCTGGTCCTTCCATTTACTAGCTGTGTGACCACGGGAAAGTTACTCAACTTGCCTTAGTTTCCTCGTGTGCAAAATGGAAAACTGCCTATCTTATAGGCTTACTGTGAGGATAAAACACATTTAAAGAGCTTAACACAGTGCCTAGAACTTGGGACACACTACATAATAGGTAAAATTTCTTTTTCACTGTTCTAACCTCTCAATTGTCTAGCAAGTGTATGGCACATACAGGCATTTACATTTGCTGAATATTTACAACACTCACCAAGTTGTATTAAAACAGCCTGTCTTTCACTGGATATGGCAGAGACTATGTCTCACTTGTTTGAGAGTAGTGCAGAACACATAGCAGAAACTTACGAATATCTACTGAATTACTTGGTTAACATTCTTGAAAAGTTCACCGATATAACATGAAACACTTACTTTTTTCCTCTGTGGTGGGTTCTGGGGGGCAGATGGGACTCCTTCACAGGCCCTTTCCCCACCAGGTGACAAGGATCCACGAGAGAGGTCTTTCATTAAGCCATGTTCATATCTGCTGGAAAATCCTTCTGCAGGCGAACAATATCCCCCATCCAAATGTAAAGGCTTCCTATCCCCCACTAGAGGAGAACCTCGATACAGTCCATCTGCTCGAGGCATAGCGTTCAAAGGGGAGTAGGCATACATCAAGTTGAACTCTGTCCGAAATGCCTGGTCTGAGTTTCTCACGAGGGTCTGATGTCCATCTCCACTTCTGCTTGGGAAACCAGTCTCAGAAGTGGGTCCGATGGAGGGATGAGGAGCCAGGTCAGAATGACCAGAGTTGAGTAGGGAAGGTCTATCAGCACAGCTGTTAGTGTTGGAGTCAAGGTATCCTACTTTTGCCAAATCCAGGTCTTTTCGGTGACAAAGCTGAAAGAATAAAAATCAACGGAGACATGGGGTAGGGGAGAAAGGAAAAAGTCAAAGGGCAGAAAGGAGGGGAGAGGGACACAGGTGAACAGGGAAAGATAAGAGGGATGGAAGTAGAGCAGATAAAGCCATTATATTCTGTAAAAGTCCCACGTAGCAACAGTGTATATAGGCCAGAGTACTAAAGAATCCCGGCCTTTCCCAAATTGCTTTCAAGTCTTTCTGGATGGGAAATACTGGGAAAGTTAGGTAATTGGCTAAATGTGACTATTTTGCCTGCTTAGCCTTTCATCAGGTTGCTGAGTCACCTTGTACTACACTAAGGGACAAGTGGTATAATAAGGAATTTACCTTAGCCCCATGCACACTACAAAGGTGAGACTGGTGTCTTAAGATAACTGGCTTCTGGGGTTATCAATTTCTAAATTAATATTGATGCAAGGTGGGGGGGAGGGAAAAAGGTGGAGGAAGAAGAAAGTAGACGGAAAGGCAAGTATTTAAGTTACTGGTTCAGTAAAGGAGGATGGCATTAAAGACATCAACCAACCAGTTCTTCACTCACTTTCACTGTTAAAGAAGGTGTGTTTCTCATACAACTTTCTGGCCACTCAGTTCTTCTTTCTTTATCCTCTAATGTATGTCAACATACCACAAGACCACTAATGCTCATCACTGCAGATTCTGAAATGCTGAAATGTACCAAAAATAAACCCCACCTACTATTTGGTTATCATAACCTCCAAACTTCCAACACTAGGTCAACTACAGCTAACCACCTACAAAGAATGGTACCAGAAAACCAGATACCATACCATATCAGTCTTCAAATTATGCTATCTTAGAACCTTTTAACAACTGAGGAGAGAGAGCTTTACTTTCCTAACAAGCTAGAGTCAAAACACCAAGAAAATCTCTAATATACTAGTGGAATACAACCTTTTTCAGTTTCACATTAACCTATCAACTACTACTGATTCAGAACTTACTAGACTGTCACTGAATTATGCCCTAATTTTTTATTGGAAGGGGGTGGGGTTAAAGTTCAGTTGAATATTTCTGAGAGACTCTAACTTTCTCTTCAAGAGAAAAAAGGTCCCATGTATTAACAGATTCAGAGTTCATTGTTATTACATCTGAAAGTTTATAATAGAAACTCTAGCACTAAAATCTGAGTTTGACATATCCACAGCAGAAGGGTTTGTGAGAAAACCACTCTACTGATATCCTAAGAGATAACACTTGTATAGCAACCATATCCTAACCATTGCAGAATGGTGGTCTATGACACAAAGCCAGGGACTCACTTGGTTTCCTTGTGCACCCAGTAAGGAGCTACAGAGAAAATGTAGGAAAGCTGAAAGACAGAATGACTTTCCCTTCCTGAAGAAGCTGCTCAATCTATCAACCAAAAGGCCAAAACATCTGGTTTACAGAGCTGTTAGATTAACCCTAGAACAAAGCATAAGTCACCACCCAACTCAAAAAACAGCTCTTACCAACTTTTGACTCAATTTTCCTTATTTATTAGCCTTTCTTTAACAAGGCTCCTACCACATATCAGCATCTTGACTTCTAGATTCTATTCTTTAATAGAACTCCAGCCACCCCCTCCCCCAAACAACAAAAACCAACCCCACCAAACATACACACACCACACACTCACACATACCCCTACTTCATTTTCCTCCATCTACATTGACAGGCCTGTGTAGTCACAGTCACACAGGAAGGCTCCTTTAACTTACTGTGACTGAGTGGCCGCCCTCCAGCCCATCACCCCACTCACTCAGATCCCCAGCCCTCCCCACACACTCAGGAACACATTCATGAACACTCACTCTCAGCCTCCAAGTGTGATTGAGATGGTGTGATAACTACCTCGGGTGACAGGGACTCGGGCCTATGCGCAGGGGAACTCTCAGGGGAGGATATGTTCTAGAGGAGGGAAAAGCATCTTGTTATTATTCATCTACTCGAAGTCAAGAAGCAAAACAAAACAAACAAAAAATAAAAGCAAGCATAGATGTTAGCCACAACTTTTTTGGGGGGCGGAGAAGTTGAATAAGAATGCATAGGGGAAATATTTAACTGCAGAACTCATCTCGATGGACAGAATGACTTGTTAAAATGCTTCCTGGTATCTTTGAAAGCATTTAAGGATAAATTGGTTATAATGTTTCATGCTGTAAGTAAACATCTCAAGCACATATAAGGAAAGAGTTAGACTGGTGAAATTTTAGTGTTATACGTCTTTGTATTTTAGATGAGAGTTTAGCAACCTATAGTATTTGTTACTGAGGGGCATCCTACCCCTTATTCTTCCTTAGATGGACCTTGTTCCTTCACCCAATGCCTCTTCTGCTTGTCACATTTCTTTATTCTCTTATATGCCTCAGGTCCTCCCACTGCTATCCAGGGGGAGACGTTAGTGTTCTGGGGGCTGACCTGGTTAGGGAGATTGCCAGTTCTTCTTGAATGAGTTACAGGAAATGTGACTGATGGAATCTCTAGCTCACAGGCTAGAGGTGGTTCTAAGCATAATCTAATTAGACCTGAGCCACCCCTATTATTTTGTAAAATCCATTGTACTTTTGGCAACAGAGCAGAAAAAGCATGTATGTGTATACTTAAGTCCCTGCCTCCTATAGAGGGTAGGATTTCACCTTGGGACTTTCAGGTGAGGCAGCACTCCCATAACAAACAGAGACTGAGCAGTGAGTGCTTAATGGAAAGATGTAAATGGGAACACGTGAAGAGAGTGATGGTGGTAGTGTGATAGTAATTCAGGGGTGCTAGGGCTGAGGTAAGGAGAGGGTGCCTAATGTAGACTCTGAATAACTGTGGCCTAGGTGGCAGGCATATGCTGAGGTAGGGGAAATGAGGCTGCTTCAGCAAAGCAGGGTTTTGGCTGTGAATTTTACTTGGCATGGAGAGTGAGTGGGTGGTATACATCTATGTGTGAAATGGTGACTGGAATATGGCTCTTAGGGCAAGAAGAGGAGGGGAGGCTTATTCTGGTAGAAAGGAGAGGCTAACTAAGCTTGCCCTCCCAATGTTGCTTCCACTGTTTTTTCTAGATGCTTTCCCCTCCTGAAAATCTTGTTCTGTTCTCTTCTACTGTTTATCTTCTTACCTTCTTCCCTTAGCACTTAAGGCTTCTCACCATTTTCCTGAATGCTTTTTTCCTTTTCAAAAATATCCGTCCCCAAACTAATATGCTAAAGTGTTTTTTTTTTATTTTTTTATTATTATTATGAGACAGAGTCTCCTTCTGTTGCCCAGGCTGGAATGCAATGGCGCAATCTTGGCTCACTGCAACCTCTCAGGCTCAAGCAATTTCTGTGCCTTAGCCCCTCGAGTAGCTGGGATTATAGGTATGTGCCACTGTACCTGGCCTAAGCTGGTCTTTTAATTAATTATTTTTAGAGATGGGATCTCACTGCTGCCCAGGTTGGCATGTAGTGGCACAATAACAGCTCACTGCAGCCTTAAACTCTTGGTCTTAAGTGATCTTCCTGCTTCAGCCTCCCAAGTAGCTGGGACTATAGGTGTGTGCCACCACACCTGGCTAAGTTTTGTATTTTATTTTTGGAGAAATGTGGTCTCACTATGTTATCCAGGCTGGTCTCAAACTCCTGGCCTCAAGCAATCCTCCTGCCTCAGCCTCCCAAAGCACTGAGATTACAGCTGTGAGGCACTATGCCCAGCCTAAGCTGGTCTTTACATGTGAAACCTTTTTGATATTTCACAATGTGTCACAGCCTTTGATACAAAAAAGCCTCCCCACCTCTCTGTACTAGAACACAGCAAAGAGTATGGCTATTAAAATGGTTCAGGGTGGTGAAATCTGTTCTATTATTGATGAGAAAGGTAAATTTTCCTTAAATTGCAAGTGAAACCATGCCTTGGACCTTTTACTATTTAGTATTTTCCTTCCCTCCTGGTATTCTAACATTAAGGTTGGACTGTATTATCAAAATGACCAGCAATTAAAAAAAAAGAAAACCAAAACCACTTTATATTTGCAGTGTTTAATAGTTATCCCAAATGCTACAAGGGATAAGGAACACACTGAGTGCTGAACCTGCTTGTTTTGGAAAGTGACTTACCTTCCAATTTTCTTTTTTTTTTTTTTTAATGAGACGGAGCCTTGCTCTGTTGCCCAGGCTGGAGTGCAATGGCACGATCTTGGCTCACTGCAACCTCCACTTCCCGGGTTCACGCCATTCTCCTGCCTCAGCCTCCCAAGTAGCTGGACTACAGGTGCTTGCCACCACACCTGGCTAATTTTTTGTATTATTAGTAGAGATGGGGTTTCACTGTGTTAGTCAGGATGGTCTTGATCTCCTGACCCCGTGATCTGCCCGCCTCAGCCTCCCAAAGTGCTGGGATTACAGGCATGAGCCACCATGCCCGGCCTCCTTCTAATTTTCATAATCCCACATTTATAATAAAGTCTGTATTGATAAAGTATGAAACTCTATTCCTATAATTTTAGGCCCTCCCGGGAGAATTCCTCTCATGATGCCTTACTGTAAAGCTCTAGGTGCCAACTGCAAAGTCAACTGCAAGTAGACAAAGTTAGAAAGGCTTGAATCAGCTGCTGTATTATCTGGCTGAAAGAATTCCATAAAGAATCCGGTAAAGAGTAATTTCCCTAGATAACTCATGTGTAACCAGGAGGTTTTTTCCCTCACCCAGAAAGAGGTCTGCTCCAAAAGTAGAGATCTAGGGTAAGACATAATATAGTTCTACTTTCAATGTTGCTAGCTACCTCTTAGTTACTCATATAAAAATCCAAGTATTCTGAATCCTCATACTTGGAAAAGCTGAATAGGAAACGTAAGATTGGTTAGGACGTTCACCTTTCTCAAAAAACACATCTGGAGAAGTGCAAGCAAGGGGGCAGAGCAGCAGAGTGTGTTTAGTGGTCAGAACAAATTTTTCTGAGAAGGAAGGAAGAGACAGTGTCCATTTTAATTACAAATCAAAGTAACATGCAATAGATGAAGTGTTTTAAAAAAGTATACATGGATTCTATTGAAACCTCCTGTCACCCGAACCTGAACACTAAAGTGATTCAAAATCACTTTTTGAAACAGCTGAGGCAGACATTTCTAACTTAATCCCACAGTGAAGGTAATAAATTTGTCTCATGAATACATGTTGCTAGTCTCCTGTCTACTTCTCATTCCTAAGACATTATAACAAAGAGGGAAAGTAACCTGGAGTGGAAAAAACCTGCATTCGCCATAAGCCATACCCCAATATTTTCTAAATCTCTGTTCACTAAGGCCACAATGAAAATACCAAACAACCTGGGAAAGACACTTCACTTATTTAAAGGCCTAGAAACGAAGACACAATCAATCAATATCATCTGTGCTCTCAGGCTGGTGTTACTAACAGATACTACAGGCAGCTAGAGGCCTATTTTGACCAAAGTTTACAGTAAAGATAACGATGGAGATCTAGCATGCTTACTACCTAAACATATGGAGACTGATGGACTGCATGCAAAAGATACACGAATGGGATACACTATGCCTATTTTGGGAAGTATAGGGGCTGCCAAGATGAGAGGTGACCAGGTAATAGGCCACAATGACCCTGAGGTTTCCCATTCTCTTACTGAGATGGGGAAGGAAGATAGTAAAGAAATACTTGGAATGGTATTATATTTGAAATGAGAAGGTACAAATGGTGATTTTCATATCCAGCACTCCCGGCAACCAAACCCAAATCACCTCAAACTGCAGAGGAGTGTTGCAGCGACTAGCAGTAGTAAGAGATGTGACTGGTGAAAACATGAGGCTGTATCCATTTCGACACTCCTCTTCTCCTGGGTGAGATGAGCCAGGCGTGGCCAGCTGGGGGCTCTTTGAGCCTGAATTGGGAGGGGGTGGTGTGACTGGAGACAGAGGCCGAAGTAACTTGGTGACATTCTGCTCCATCAGATAGCGAGACTTCCATTTCTTTAATGGGCTCAACAAGTCTGTGAAACACAAAGCTTGGATGAGAGTTTGAAATCACAGATTAATTTAAGGCTCTATAGTAAAGCCATTAATCTGTAATCTACAATGGCTCTTAATTGTCTTCTGCCTCATCCCATTAAGTTATCTCCTCCAATCAAGCCAAAATCCCAAAGAAACTCTTTAATTACCACACTTAAAATAATTCTGAAAACATTCTATCTCCCAAACTCCAGGTAAATCGAATGTGACTGATCTCTAATTTAATTTCTACCAGTGCAAAATATAAAATTCTTTCATTTATTCATTTATGTATGTATTTATGAGACGGAGTCTTGCTCTGTTGCTAAGGCTGCAGTGCAATGGCGTTATCTTGGCTCATTGCAACCTCCATCTTCCGGGTTCAAGCAATTCACTGCCTCAGCCTCCTGAGTAGCTGGGATTACAGGCACGCACCACCACACCCGGCTAATTTCTGTATTTTTAGTAGAGATGGGGTTTCACCATGTTTGCCAGGCTGGTCTTGAACTCCTGACTTCAGGTGATCTGCCCGCCTTGAACTCCCCAAGTGTTAGGATTACAGGCCTGAGCCACTGCTAAATTTCTTTCTTTTACATTGAGTTTCTGAAAAGTCTTTGTTACTGTGTTAAAGTTACCCTCTACTAAACTGCTATATCACCAACTAAAGGTACTGGGATGCTAAATCCAAATTCCTTTCACCATCTCTCATATATTGTGTCCCTTTTCAGAAGCTCTTTCTATAATGTTCTTATATGATTTCCTGATCCATGTCTAGCCCCTTTTCTACCTAAAAAGCGTGAAATGATTTCTACAGAAACTTCTCTCAACCATTAAAAAATTAGGTTTATATTCTTTTTTTTTGACTAGAATAATCCTATTTTCTGTATTTCTTAGATCCACTTAAAAAGCAAGTTACCACACTTAAATATTTTAGTAACCATTTAGGCCAAAGCACCTTTCTCACTTGATTCTCGGAATAAAAATACAGTTTTATTCATTTATAGTTAAAAAGATATGTATTTATTTAATACCTACAGATTACTGAACTAGGTATGGAGGGAAAAATGGTCATCATACAGTCTATTTTCAAGAGGCTTAAAATTTGTAAGAAATAGAAAGAAGGCCAGGTGTGGTGACTCACGCCTATAATCCCAGCATTTTGGGAGGCTGAGGCAGGCAGATCACTTGAAACCAGGAGTTTGAGACCAGCCTGGCCAATATAGCAAAACCCTGTTTCTACTAAATACACAAAAAAGATTAGGCAGATGTGGTGGTGGACGCCTGTAGCCCCAGTTACTCAGGAGGTGGAGGCACAAGAATCACCTGAACCCAGGAGGCAGAGGTTGCAGTGAGTTAAGACTGCACCACTGTACTCTAGCCTGGGTGACAGAGCGAGGAGACTGTCTCAAAAAGACAAAACAAAACAAAAAAACCAAAAGCAAAAAACAAAAAGAGAACATATTAGTAAGATCAAGAAAGGTGATCATATTGCTATGCATTAGTTTAAAAAAAAAAAGCTGCATTCTAAATGATTATTATATACTACGGACTATGCCATGTGCTTTATTGTGAAATATCTAATTTTAACAACACCTTAACAAGCACTATTATTAACATCCCCATATTAAAGGTGAGAAACTTGATGTGTGGAGAGAGACAAAACAGGTATTCTTGCTCCCATCTATCTACATTCTTAATTTTTGTATTTTTAGTAGAGACGGGATTTTGCCATGTTGGCCAGGCTGGTCTGGAATTCCTGACCTCAAGTGATACACCCACCTGAGCCTCCCAAAGTGTTGGGATTACAGGCATGAGCCACCATGCCTGGCCCCATCTTTCTATATTCTTAATCAATAAAGTATATCCCCAAGGCTTGGTGGATGGAAGGAGTGACATTTATTCCAGGCCTTCAAGGAAAATTTTCGGGTCAGGAAGATTATCTGGAAGCAATGGTCAGTATGAGACTAGTAACTGGGAAATCATCTGGAGTTAATACAGTAGTTAGCAAAGAGTTATGAGGCACTAAACCAGGGTAGGAGATGTTTAGATGAAGAGGGAAGAATAAATGCAAAAAATTATTGAAGATGCATATTTTTCCTTTCTGGTATCTCAGAATTTTTAATATTCCTAGACTGGAAGTATATTCACATTTTCCTTTTGTTCCAGACACTAAATTTTCTTTCCTTCTTTTAAAAAGTGCCTAGGTATAAAACAGAAACAAACATGTAATTCATGGCTTATATTCGGAATAACTTTTACATATTTAATATTTCAAGGGTCTTAAACAATGGAATCTTTCAGAAGATCTCTGTACTGCTAGGTCCAACCCTATAACTACTAAAGTCAATTATGTTAAGTGATGAAGTCAGTTGTAGAAAAAAGTTAGAAGATACAGGTGAAATCTGCCATGTGCAAATCAACGTACATGGCATTCATTCAACATATATTTACTGAGTACTTATTATGATACTGTATTCAACAGGAGACCTGATGTCTGCCCTTAAGAAGTTTACAGGCCAAAGAAGGCCAAATAATTTGCCCACTTTTTCTCTTTTTCCTGCATACATAGTTTTCAAATTTTATATGGTCAAATCTATCCATCTTTTATTTATTTTTTAACCTTTACTCAAAAAATTACCAAGGTTATATAAACACATACACAACCTGAAAATCACATTAACAAATAAACGCATGCTAATATCCTGGTAAATTTTTATCCAGACACTGCTTCACTGACTCTTGCCTTACCTACACTACTCAATAACTATTTTCACTCAGAAATACATGGTCAACATTTTTTTTATGATAATGAATAGAAATCTACAGTTCAGGTTTAACGGCTGCACAACATTAGTATTATCAAAATTTAATCAATTCAAGTAGTTTTCATTTTTTGCTATAAGAACAAATGGCTACATATAGGATTATTAAATCAAAAAAATATCTACACATGTACAGTAACTTTATTTTTAGTCCTGTGAGAACTGCTGGCTCCTGTTCTTTAGCCTGCATTCTACTGGGGTGTTGGGGTCTTCTTCTTCATCTGTAAGGGCTCTTTAAATAGTAAGAATGTTGACCCCTTGTCAATAAAATTACAAATGTATTTTCCCAGTTTACTGATTGCTTTTCAATTTTATTTACAAGTCTCTGCTATATGTTTTATTTCTATTTAGTCAAATGGACCACTTTATTTTCTGCTTCTGATATCACATCTTTGCTAACCCACCCTGACATTGTAAAAATGCCAGCCTATTTTCCTTTTATCTCCATGTTTAATTTTTAATTTAGATCTTAATTTAAAAAGAACATATTTTATTTCACACTGACAAACTGCCATTAAAAAAAAAAAGGAAAAAAGAACATACTTAAGTATGCGGTAGCAATTAATCTGTTCTCTTCCTATAGCAAATAGCTAGCACCTTCTTCCAAAATCTTCTGTAATTGTAGAATAACTATAATTTTCCCATTAATTTGAAATATCGTATTTATCTTATTAGATTCTTACATATGCTGGGTTTATCTTCAACACCAGCATACTTTTTATTAAAATTGTTTGGGCAATTCCAGTTATTCTATTCTAGTTCTCCAAAATGTTTTAGCTGTTTTAGCAATGAACTAACTATAGAAGTCATTCAATGACCATGCTCATACTATTTTTAAAAGGTTAGGATTCTGATTGGTGTTACATGAAATTCAGGAGTAATCTGAGAAGCATTCTTACTCAGGAACATGGCACAATCTTTGTTCTTCACATATTGATTTATGTCCCTCTTCATCTAGATGTACCACATGTCTAATTAAGTTTACTCTTCAGCGTTCTTTAGTTTTTTTTTTTTACTACTATGAAAAAAACATATCTCCCCCTTTGTTATCTAAATGTTATTAACATTTAAAAAGTTTACATACTTATTTTTTATCCAGTTACCATATTAATCTCTACCAGTTTTTCAATTAATTCTCTAGGTAGATAATAGTATTTCTACATGATAACACATTAGTACTCTTTACCAGTACTTAAATCTCTTATGTTGATTTTCTTTTTTTTGCGGGGGGAGGGAGGTATAATTACTTTGGCTAACAATTACAGACTATATTAAATAATAATGGTAATAGTGGGATAATCTGATAGCCTATTTTGATGTTTAGTTTTCATGATGCATGACAACTGGCAACTTTTTCAGCTACATGTTAAAAAATCGTAAGTATGTTATTTTATCATTAAATTGGTAACAGTCACTGTGTTATGACTTCTCCTCCCTCATTTGACCTGTTAACAAATGAATGTCATTAAATTTTCAAATATTAACTTATCCTTACATTCCTAGAAGGACCTTAGTTATCATATATTATTCTTTTAATACTCTTACAAATTCAAGGTGCTAGTTAAGATCACAAATCTAATTCAAAAGTGGTACTATGCTGTTTTGGAGGGCAGAGGGAGTTAATTTGATAAAATGAATCAAAAATAAAAATTTCAATAAATACTATATGATACTCTATTACAAGTATGTGCGCAAGCAGATAAAATTACAAATTCTACCACTCCTGGGGTTGGAATTCAGATTATTTTTAACCTATAGTTTTTGCAATTGTTAATAACTAAGAATTAGTTATTCTAACAACCAATTCATTCAACTTTTGAAGCTGTTGAACAAATCTGACTACAAAGTTTTGTCTCACCCACCAGGTTCACCTGACCTCTCGCCAACTAAGTACCACTTCAAGCATCTGACAATTTTTTGCAGGGCAGGTGTTTCCACAACCAGCAGGATGCAGAAAATATTTTCCAAGAGTTTGTCGAATCCTGAAGCATGGATTTTTATGCTACAGGAATAAACAAACTTATTTCTCATTGGCAAAAATGTGTTGATTGCAGTGGTTCCTATTTTGATTAATAAAGATGTGCCTGAGCCTAGTTAAAGTGATTTAAAATTAATAGTTCAAAACCGCAATTACTTTTGCACCAACCTTATATATAAATTTTGGTTTCTGTGTCTATTTCTGTAGGAAACATACCAAGCAGAACAAATGAATGACTACTAGGTTAAGGATTATGAATATTTTTAATGTACACGATAAATCTTATCAAATTGCTAGCAGGGCTCTCCTGTCAGTTTTACTGCAAATCCTTTCCCCAATGTATTAATCCTCTATTAATTCAGAGGCAGGACAGACACAAAAACATGGTTAATACAGATTGAATTATTTATTATTTTTAGAGATAGATGTCTTGCTGTCATTCAGGCTGGAATGCAGTGGCATTATCAACCTCACTGCAGCCTCAAATTCCTGGGCTCAAGCCACCCTCCTACCTCAGCCTCTCTAAGGCTACAGGCAACACACCATCATGCCAGGCTAATTTTTATTTTTTGTAGAGATGTGGGTCTCTCTCTGTTGCCCAGGCTGGTCTCAAATTCCTGGTTTCAAGTGAACCTTGTGTCTAGGCATCCCAAAGAGCTGGAAATTGCAGGTGAGAGTCACCATGCCAGGCCCAAGTTTGAATTAAAAAATATATATATATATTTGAATGTGCCTAGAACTTTCTTTGGCAAAGGACCTTGTTTTTTTAAAGACAGGGTCCTGCTGTGTGGCCCAGGCCTAACCTGACTCCTGGGCTTGAGTGATCCTCCTACCTCAGTCTCCAAAGTAGTTGAGAGTCACAGGCATGTGCCACTGACAGTCCAGCTAGAATCTAATTCTTTTTCAATCTTCTAAGTAAAAATTCCACGACAATTTACCAACTTTTACATTTATATTTAGGCCTGTTCTGACTATTTTGTTCCATATATACATCCATTCTTGCATCAATATTATACTAAATTTAACTATTAGCTTCATACTAGAAGCTAGTGTTACACTCTCAAGAGAAAGTACTTCATTATTATTTTTTCAATTTTTTCTTATTTTTTAAAAGGTAGACTTCAGAATCATTTAATCAAACTCCAAAAACAAGGCCGTTTCATGGGAACTAAGAGAGAGAGAGAAAGAAATATATATATACACAAATATATAATCTTTCCATAATGAACATGAAATTTATCAAAGGTTCACATATGTTTCATGAAAAAAAGAAAAAGTAAAAAAGAAATTTCAATTTCCTCAGACTTTAAAAATATTTCTCAGTAACAATTTACTCCATATATCCAACTAAGGTTATTCCTAGGCAGTTTCTTAGTTTTGTTAAATTTGGTAACAAAAAAATTGGTATTCATTTACTTTCTTAGTATATAAATGATTTTTAAAAATACATTTATACATTTACTCTTCTATCCAGTAATATTAATAAACTCATTATTATAAAAAAAAATTTTTTTTTTTTTGAGACAGAGTCTTGCTCTGTCACCAAGCGGAAGTGCAGTGGCATGATCTCGGCTCACTACAACCTCCACCTCCTGGGTTCACACTATTCTCCTGCCTCAGCCTCTCGAGTAGCTGGGACTACAGGTACCCGCCACCACGCAGAGCTAATTTTTTGTATTTTTAGTAGAGACGAGGTTTCACCGTGTTAGCCAGGATGGTCT